GTCAGCGGCGGCCACACGGGGGCGCCAAACGGTCAAGCGTGGCAAATTCCTATGTTTTCATATGTAATTTACTGAGCACCTACTGGGTGCCTAGGAACTGTTCTAGGCCCTGGGAACACAGCAATGCTCAAGCCAGGGGGAAATGCCTTCCCTGGGGAACTGAGAGTTAAGTGAGAGAAACTGGAAATACCCTAGGTGAAGCAGTCACTAGTAAAGAAGAGATACTAAGTGCTAAGGAGAAAAGATTCGCAGGGAGGGAGGTGGGCAGGGCTGAATTTGCACGCGGGAGAGTCGCCAAAAGGCCTCCTGGGAAGCTGATGTCTGTCCAAAGCTGGTAAATCATGGTTTTTGTTTGTTTGTTTGTTTAAGACAATCTTGCTCTCTTGCCCAGGCTGGAGTGCAATGGCATGATCTCAGCTGACTGCAACCTCCGCCTCCCACGTTCAAGAGCTTCTCCTGCCTCAGCCTCCTGAGTAGCTGGGATTATAGGCGCCCGCCACTATGCCCAGCTAATTTTTGTATTTTGAGTACAGATGGGGTTTTGCCATTGCCCAGGCTGGTCTTGAACTCCTGGGCTCAAGCAGTCCTCCCACCTCAGCCTCCCAAAGTGCTGGGATTACAGGCATGAGCCACCGTGCCAGGCCGCCTTTTCTCTTTTCAACAGTACTACACAAATGGCAAAAATCTAAACAGTACAAAAATTCAAATGGCACATGCTGTCATTAAATATGCCACCAAGAAAGGAAAAAGCCTGGCAATTAATCCCCGACAGGCCATTGACAGTAAGCTACATCTCGACTTCAGAGACGCTAGTGGGGAGGAATACATATCTTAGATTTGATAAAAGATGGGATCTCAGGCCGAGCGTGGTGGCTCACGCCTGTAATCCCAGCACTTTGGGAGGCCAAGGTGGGTGGATCGCTTGAGCTCAGGAGTTCGATACCAGCCTGGGTAACATGGCAAACAGCGTAGTTTTCCATTCCCATTGACCCTTCTCTGTAGGGCCCATTCTCTGATTTTCTCAACATGAAAATCAGTGGCCAGTGAGGCTGGCCATGGTCTTGTCGCACCTATGCAACAACCCCAGCCCTGATGGCCTTCTTCTATCCCTTGTACCTTGCATGCTGCATCCTACCATTGGACCTTTGTACAAACTGTTCTCTGTCTGGAATACCACGTATCCTTCAGGGCTCAGTCATCGCCTCCCCCAGGGAGCCTTCCCTAACTTCACTGACCAGATCAAGCCCTATGTGACACTTACCACCCCTACAGATTTAACTGGGCATTCATTGTGGGTGGTTAGATGAATGCCTGTGCTCCCCATCAGACTGTGAGCTCCCTGAGAACAGGAGTTGGCTGTGCTTTTCTCTCCAATGCCTCCCCAGTACCTGTTCCCAGCATGGTAGGTGCTCAATACATTTAAGTTATATGAATGGATGAATTTTCCCAACCGGACCCTGAGCCTAGGAACAGAAGCAATTTGCTCAAAGCCACACAGTCAATCAGAGAGGGTCCTCAAATCAGATGTGGCTCCAGCCAAGTCCAGAGGCCAAACCTTAACCCACGGCCACAGCCATCCCTTCCGCCCCAGGCTGAGTCACTCACCCTCTTCTCGTGGTTGGGGACAATGCAGCGGACAAAACTGGGGTTGGTGTTGCTGAGTGTGGCCATGAGGCGGCTCAGGGACTCCTTGTAGAGCTGTCCCACTGTCCGGAACATACCCCGGCGGGGGCGGCCACCTGGTGGGCCATCGCCCAGGCTGCTCACCTGTTCCAGCCCCACGATGCCCTCCACTGTCAGATGGAGATACAGAGAGAGAGAAGGAGGTCAGGAATCAGTTTTAGGGACCAGGCCAAAGGTCAAGGGTCTTATCATTTATCACAACTGACACTTTACATATGAAGGACCTCACACAGCCTGTAAGGTAGATATTGTCAGCTCCATTGGACAGAGGCTCTGAAGGGTGGGAGAATGTGCTTAAGGTCACGCAGCTTAGAAACTGAAGATCCAAGATTAGAACCCAGACAGTAGGAGTCCTCTCAAACCCTGGTCTTTGACCCTTCTTCTCTTCAAGGACATGATCTCTGTTTTCCTTAACAATAAATGATGACAATAACAGCAAATGCTTACCTAGCATAGATGCTCTGGCAGGCATTGCTCAAAGCAATTTACACCAATGGTTTTATAAGCCTGTAAGAATCATTCCCATTTTATAGATCTGGAAACTGAGGCACACAGAGAGAAAACAGTGATAACATAATCACTGCAGTTGCATTTTAGGAATCTGAAACATATTACAAGACGTAATAAATTATTGCATTATATGCAATATTTGAAATAGGGCAAATGATCTCCATGTTAACCATTTTTCCAGAATGCCTGATTTCATAGAGGTTTTATTTTCTTGGCAGGGCGCGGTGGCTCATACCTGGAATCCCAGCACTTTGGGAGGCCAAGGTGGGTGGATCACCTGAGGTCAGGAGTTCGAGACCAGCCTGGCCAACATGGTGAAACCCCAT